TGTGAAAATAACCCATACGTTGAGCAGCTTTCTTTGAGAACCTCCAAGAGGAATGTACATGTACCTAGAAATATAATCATTCACTAAAATTACTTGCCATTTAAAATACGATAATGCTTCGTTCGGTAGGAAAGAAAAAAATTGGATGGAAGGGAGAGAAGAAGGGATGGATGAGACCATTCCCTATAAGGAAGAGGGGTGAAAGGTAAATAGGAGGGAAGGAACAAAATTCATTCGTTCGGTAATTTTGTTCGGTAGGAGGAGACACGGAGAGAAAGGATAATAGGAGGGATGGTTTAAAGGATAATAGGAGGGATGGTTTATCCCTCCTTCTTTACAAATTTTCATCCACCCAAATTTGGGCGGAAGACGGGAGAAAACAAGCGGAGTTATTATAAAAATACTAAATTACAAGATTATCCTTCCCAAATATTAAAAAATAAACCCTACACATCTAGTCTCACGCAAAATCCTATCAAGAAGAACTCACCTTCACGTTGAACTCTATCAAATGCTCTCTCCAACGATCTCTCTCACGCAGATAAGAAACTCTTTCTTGCTCTTTCTCGATGTGTACATATGACAATATTTACAAGCAGATTTGATTCATGTGTTATAATATATATAGGTGATTGGTTGTACAAAGTGGGTTGCTCTAATATATATATATATATATATATATATATATATATATATAACAACTCTACAAAGTGATTGATGATCATGTTTAACTTTTTGTGCTACTAATATACTAAGTTTTCACCCTCAATCATCCAAAATTGCACCAATGAAGAAATTGAAAACTGTGTACAAATACATTGAGTAAATGATCCAGTGAGGATAGAAGTGTAACTAATTATCTTGTTAAACCCATCAAGAGAACAAAAAAAATTTCAATTGGCACATCCAATGTATATAGCATGTCGTAAGTCAACGATGAAATAAAAAGAATGTAACCCTTAAAGAGCAATAAATCATTAACTTTGATCTTCCAGTTGGAATAATAATTTAAACATTTACCAGTAATTCCACGTAAACTAGCATTTTTCTGCCGATATTTATTTATTTATTTTGGTAAATTTTTTAAAATAAAATTAAAAAAATTAGATATCTTCTACTATTGCCTCATAGTGACAATCTATCATTATTTTGTTATTTTTTTTTTGTATATATTATATAGAAGGGAATAATGGTAAAAATAATTTTAAATTTTCTCTTCCCTTCTCTTTTAACGAACAAAGTAATTTGGTAGTTTCTTCTCTTCTCTTCCATCCAATCGAACAAAATGAGAGAAGTTCATAATCTCTTCCCTAGGAATGTCTCATCATTCCCTTCTTCTCTCCTTTCCATCCAATTTTCTTCCGTCATACCGAACGGATCTAGGGAAGCGATTGTGTCTTTCCTTCCTTTTGTTCGGTTGGATGGAAAAAAAGAGAATAAGCTCATAATTTATTATGTTTGTTATAAGAGAAGGAAAGATAAAGTTTTAAATTGTTTTTTGTTTCCATTAATATCTATAATATTGTAATTCATAGAGGATAGTACTGTAATTTAAAACTTGTATAATCTAGGATAGTATTTAATTTAAAACTTCTATAATAATCCAATTTCCTTCCTAGCTCCCTCTCTTCCGCCCATTCTTTGATCAATGAAAATTTATAAAGAATGAAGGATGACGCATCCCTCGTATTATTCTTTCTTTCCTTGTATCATCTGTATCGAACAAAGGAAATTTATTCCTTCCTTCCTATTTTCTTTCCACACCTCTTACTTCCTTCCTACCGAACAAAGCATATAAGTGCATGGGAATACAAGATAAAAGATCTGAAAGCCACACCTGACGAGCCATTTGTTGAAGGAAGCATGCCAATTTTTCCAAAAACTTTCCAAGTTGTAGCAATTATTTATACACCGCGGCATATTCTCAGGGGCCTCAATGCCACTGAGCTACAATCACATTAAACAAATAACAACTTCCATTAATAGGTGTAATAATAAAGGACATTATAGTTGCTATAACTAAAACTGCAAACAGATGACCTAAGATAAAATCCTGATAGCACACAAACATTATGAAATCAAAAGTAAAAGATCTAGTCGGAACAAAACATACCAGTGACCAGAATCGGAAGTATTGCCAGATAAGAAAAAACTTGTTAACATCTTAAACAAAGAGATTCAGCATATTAGTTTGTTGAATAATGTGGCTCAAAAATTGAGGTTGCCAAACTTGCACCACTCAACAAGTGTAGCGCATCACCTATTATATCAGCAACTTATAACCGTCTTGTCGGGACAACCAAGCTATACCATATATCTATTAACAGTCAAATGAATACAAGTTTTTAGTCTTGCCGTGTGGACCATTCATGGTGATTGATCAAGAAGTTTTTCAAAGCCAGCTATATCCATGTGTAATCAGCAAGTATACATGCGTGTGATCAACAAGTTTATGTTGGTGACTTTTCTCATTCATCCGAGATCATCCAAGATTGAGTGTGTTTGCTCAATATCAGTAAAAAGAAAGTGTGTGACAACTTGGGTGTAATTGAGTTTTAGGTGTAAGCCACTTAGCCTTGTATTTCTTTATTTCTATAATAAAATATTAATGTGTCTTCTCCTCGTAGACGTAAGTATAGCCGAACTACGTAAACTCTTGTCTCGTTTGTGTGTGGTATTTTATTTTCTTTGTCATTTATTTGTTCCCACTAAAAAGATTACATCTATATGTCTCTTTTAGAATAAATTATCTTTTTTGACTAGACAAATAAAAATAAAATAAAAATAAAGTTATTTCTATTGAATAAATTTTCTCTTTTGACGGGACCCAAAAAAAAAAAAAAAAAAAAAAAAGTTAACTTTGATGGATAAATTATCTATTTTGATTAGACCCAAAAAAAATATATATATATCACTATTGAATAAATTATCTCTGTCTGCCAAAAATAAAATTATCTCTATGGAATAAACTATATTATAGTCAATTTGAACAATTAGCACTTGACCCGATTTTAGGTGTGGTTGGTTTTTAACTATATATACATTTTCACAAATAAATTATCAAAGACTAATTATTGTAGATGTCTCTTCGCTATAATTGTGAGAAAAAAATTATTATATATAGTAACCATATATAATCAACAAAAACTCCTAATGGTCACCACCACCATAGTTAATAGAATATATTGATAGTCTCTTTAATTGAAGCACTTATATGAGCTAACTAGCATTGTTAATTAGATCCCAAAGAAAGCATTGAGGGAAACTTCATGAATGGCAACAATGAAGACAACGACGGCCTGAGTTTGAATGGTGTATAGGATAACAGAAGAATCTAATTAACGCTTTCTAACAAAAGAAAGTAGTTGTGGGTGCCGTATTGTCAGAGTGGTCGGGTTGTTCCTCATCTTTGAGCTTTGCACCTTCACCTCCTCTCCACGAAGAGGTAGAAAAAAGAAACATCATTGAAGTTAACCTTGTGTCTCTTATAAAGTCTAATCTGGTTTTAACGTCTGAAGTCAGAAGCCTATAAATAGGTTTGCCTAGCCTTGTACGGGAGCATCCAAGGCCTTGGAATGAGCAATACCAGATCCAATTTTTGGTTGCAGTCGGTATTAGATACAGTAATTATAGAAATTTGTATCTGGATGAGTGTCGTATCAATCCGTAATAATGGTTCGCATTTTTATCATTTTCTCCTAAGTATTACTATTGTTTTCTATTTAATACCTCATCCAATCTGTGTTATTGTATGAATTTGGATATCTACACTGCATTTAAAAGTCTGTGCCTCGTGTTGATGTGTCGATAACACAATGAGTTATGTCTGCTGAATTTTGGAATGTCGTCAACCCTATTCAACCACTAATCCAACCACTAATCTAATTTTTAACTCTTCTTACCTTATAAAAAAAATTGTCATTTTTATTAAATATCCAGTGAATTTTCACTGTTACCAAAAAAAAAAAAAAAAAAGACAAAACCAACCCTACATCCAGTGAATTTTCATTCTTTGTTGGCGTGTGGGGTATACAAAACAATTCTTAGTCTGGTTGGTGGTGCGTGCTGGCCACATTTTTTTTATTTTATTTTATTTTTAAGTAAAAATGTATTAGAAATAACTCAGAAGGAAAACGAGTCCCAAGAACTAAACAAAAAATCGAAAAAAAAGAAAAGTAAAAGGGAGTCCTATAGACCCACAAAAATTCAAAAAGTCCACAAATTTCATTTAAAGATGTACCATTTATCCCCAATAACTCAACTAAAAGGATAACAAATTATAAAAAACTTCAACGCCCCAATGAAGAATTCTTCCCCATCAAAAAAATCTTCTATTCAACTCTTTTCAAAAGCTCCACCAAAGAAATCCTCATTTACAAATTAGTTTGAAAAAAACAAAGGAAATCCTCGTTTACCGTCCTTACCAGACCCACACCTAATACCATCTGAAAATATGTATCTGATTAGTACCACCAATAACTAATACCATCTGAAAAAAAAAATTATCTGATTAGTACCATCAATAAATAATCCCGAATATTTGTGGGTTGACAACTAAGAACATGCAAACCCCAAGGTGGTTAGCTCCAGTGGCGCAACTTAAGACTTGGTGCCTCGTGAAGCTCTCAATTGCGATCAATCTCTTTAGAGTCACACCCACGGGATAAATCTCTTTGGAGTCACATCCACGGCTTAGCCGAGCTTTACCAGTTCTGTGTGGGGGCGCCTTGTACAGTCGGGGCAAAGCCCGGACAGTAGTCCCAAAAAAAAATGAAAAAAAAAAAAAACACTAAGAATGCGCAAACAGATCCTTCAAGATCTCAAACAACCTCATTATAAAATATATATATATATATATATATATATATAATCTCAAGAAAAAATAAATTAAAAAATAAAAAACACTAAGAATGCGCAAACAGATCCTTCAAGATCTCAAACAACCTCATTATAAAATATATATATATATATATAATCTCAAGAAAAAATAAATTAAAAAATAAAAAACAAACAAACAAAATTTATTTTGCCACAACAACAATCTGAAAGTCATGGGTTCAAAACGAAAAAGAGACTCCCAAATTTTACATTGATGGGAGCCTCTTAGCCTTTCTTTAAATCTTATATACAAATAAAAGGCTCAAACGGATTGTAATGAAAACATTATTCAAAGAAAGTATTCTAAAATTTTGAGAATGCTTGCATGTAATTTGCTAAAGAAATTGATTGCCATTGAAGGACATTCGATGCTGGTATCGGTTGTGTTGCTTAAAATGGAGAATGGATCCAAATGAATTCCCAAAAAAGAAATCAGTGGGTCTGCCCGGGACCTGTCGATAACAAACCTCAAGCGGCGGGAATCTACTTTTGGAAACTGCAATAGCCTCCTATATCCCACCGTTGTTCCATTAGCCACTTTCTCCCATCGTCCGTTTCCATTCAGGGTATCAAGATGGAACTCAACGACCCGCTGTCCCATGTGAATTGGCTCCTGAACTTGCAAAACATTGAAAGTCACTAGTTCCTCAAAGTCCAAGTATAATACCCACTCAGTGCGATTTTCTTCGGGAGCCCAATAAGTGTAGATGCCTTCTTCAAGGACATTGTGGGAGTCAAACCGAGAATCACTAAATCCTCGTATACTGCTGGCAGTAAGACGGCTATCTTTTGCCAGATTACGGGAGAATATGGAGCCCCGAAGCTCAGTGAATTCTTGAAGCACTTGTATATCTTCTTCTGATATGAGACCTGAAGAATTTGGGGGTATATTTAGTAACAAGAGGCAGTTTCTGCCAACTGATTTGTAGTATATGTTAAGAAGAGTCTCTGCAGATTTTGGAACTTGGGACGCGTGCCAAAACCAACCCGGTCTGATGGAGACATCACATTCAGCAGGCACCCAGTCATGACCACTCGGGTCTCCTCCTCGAGAATATCTGTTAGAAATATCAACCACAATTGATTCAGATTATCCTCCATCCAGTATTTGAGGAGAATGAGAGAAAAATTCAAGACACTAAAGAAAGGAAACAGGTTTTCCACTCTTCTCTCTCATTCTTTCACAGAACCAGTAATAGCTTTGTTAAGGAAGACGAGAGAATACCAGTACATCAAGGAAGCTCCTCAAGAATTTCGTATATCATAAAATTAATGAATGCAATAATTGATGGACAATTGAGTGAAGGAAACACATTCTCAATGTTCTACGTGTGATTGACATCTCATTAGAAGCAAAAATCCTAGTTAGTGGCATAGTCAATTTTTTATCAATATATAGACAGACTAGGTTAAGATCAAACCAAAAATCAGTAGCATAGATGGTCTAAATTTATTTCTCCAAGTTGCTGAGTTCTGAATTGTGAGATATATATATATATATATATATATATATATATTGGGGAAATTGTGAGATATACATATTTTGTAATTGGCTAATTTCGTTATCAAAACAAGTCCGATCGAGTTGTAAAATTTCGTTCAGAATTTCAAGATTGAAGATCGGATGCGGATTTGAAGAAGTTCAAGTGTTCATACTTTAATACACTCTGGGATGATGAGAACAATGTTTTAGAAATGTATGTAACTGTGTGAGAACACTTGGGAAGTTTTGAAAGTTTGAAGTTTTTAGGAAGTTTACATTCTGCCTATTTCGAACTGGTAACCAAATCAAGGAACAGGAAACCAAAAAGAAAGTTTCTATTATGAGGTTTCTATTCTGTCCATTGGGAACCGGTAGCCAACTTCTGTTCACGAAGAGGATTATTCTCTGCCCATCCTGAACCGGTAGCCAAAATCCAGTACCGGTTCAAGGCTTCAGATCTGCTTAAGTAACTTTAGTTTCCTCCTTCCAAAATCCTATACACGAATTTACGTTATTTTCCAAGCATATCTAGATTTTTGAAAGTCCATATAAACATGTTTTCTCAATTAGGATTTCATGGCTTTTTGCATACAAAATTCTGATTTATTTGAGAGCCATCTTTGTGAGATTTTTATTCTGAAAAATCTTTGTGAGATTTTTATTCAGAAAAATCAATCTGATTTTATTTTTGAGAGCACACACACAAGAGTGATTTAGTAGTGTTGTTCTCTATCTCATTGGAATTGGAGCATAATTGAAGATTCAGAGATTCCGAAAGCAAAATTCATTCCTTCTGCAACAAGTTGAGATTTGAAGAAGAAAAGTGTTTAGATCACACTTTGAAGGGGTCAAGGCGCTTTGCGAAGTGTTGTTGATCTACCAGCAATCCTTCTACAAGGTTCAAGGAGTAAATCTAAAGTCGAGAGATGTTGGACAGGGGAGTCGCAAAGCCAGGGGTTTTCAGCAAGTTGGGTCTTGGTAGAGTGAAGGGGTGTGAGGCTGAGTCAAAATTCAGTGTATTTTGCTTTATACATAGTAGATCTTTTTACGTTTGGGATAGCGCACAAAATATCAAGGTTTTCCATTTGGTTTCCTCGCTAAAATCCGGTGTCACTCTAACTGTACTTGCATTTATTTTTGCTTTATGGTTTGATTAATTTACTTTTATTTCGATAAATTTAATTTAAGCAAAAATCAAATAAAAGAGCAAGTTGAACCTACTCACCCCCTATAGGTTATTTATCCATATTATATTCCACAACCATTCCGCTGCATACAACTCACATGAATCACAAAATGATTGACAAAATCAAAACGTCTATTTCATTAACAAGAGGTTATGTTTCGCATAACTACAACCTTTTCTTTTTCATTTTATTTTATTTTATTTTTTATTTTTATTTGATATACACCACTGTCCCAATTGCTTAACAATTATATGCCAGCATAATATAAATTTTAGGAAACCCTCCCACACCAAAGTTAGTTATGATTAAGAGCGCATCAATGTGTATTACACTTGTGGGGAAGGATGTAATGTTACACACGATCAGTACACTATCAATATTCAAAAACAAGTAACAGAATGAGCCTTAGGCCTAAACAGCAAGATAATTATATTAAGCACATTGAGCAAATGAACCGGGGATGACATGCCAGGGAATAGCAATCTTCCTCCTGCCAAAAAACAACCTTTTTTTTCCTCTCATGTTTTCAGCACACAAGTTCATTGCATTAACTTATTTAGTACTCATTCAGGCAAAATTGGAGCTACCTAGTTAGAATAACTATAATGTGGGGTAAGCAATTGTGTTTGTTAGGATTAGAACATAGTGTTGGCAAAATTCGCAACAAAAGCCAGAGTTAGTATTTTTATTTTAACTTTTGATTAGATTTTCAAATTTAGTTAGTCAGCTTATTGTCACGCCCCGCCTATGGAGGTTGTGCCACGCAGGCGACACGCGGACGCTGAGTAGGATGCTGCATGGCAACTGCATGACGAGTGGAGTTTCTAGAGTCTTCCGGAATTGTCTAGAGTTGTGTGGAAGATTCTAGATATGTGTAGTATATTCTAGAGTTCTCCAGAATTGTGTGGAGTAATGTGGAGAGTTCTAGTATGTTGTAAATACTAGTAGATAAGTATGAAAGTGTGAAGAAGGTGGGAGAAGATTTTAGAGAATCGATCTCCACCGTTGGTTAGAATGCATCCTAGCCATCCATTAGGGATGGGGATGCCTATAAATAGGAGTAAGACTTCATTTTGTAACCAACAAGTCCTAGAGTGAGTCTTGAGAGCCTTGTACAGAGTTTAAGTGCTAGCCTTGTACAAAGCATTCTTTGAAATAATAGAAGTGTTCTTTCCTTGCCAACTTAAGTGCCTTAGTGTGTGTGAGTGTGCAAGCCAAGTGAGGAGAGGGCGAGGGCCACTACAACACTAGTAAGCGCACAGGGGGAGTGTGTTGGCTAAGGTGTGCACGGGAGTTAGGCTGACCAAGTACTTGCGAGAGTAGAAGCAACGTCTTGGTGCCACACGGGAGCAGCTAGAGTGGTGCTAAAACTCTAAGCCCGTGACATTATGGTGGTACTTATGTCCAAAAATAGAATCGGAATTTGAAGCTACATCAAAGGACAAAAAGGTAAAATCAACTCTTGAATAATTAATTCACTAACTAGGGACTCGTAATTATGCATTCTTATCATGATCCATTTTAGGAAACAATGCATACATATTTTGATTCATAGAAAAGACGTTTTGAATGCATGAAGTTATTTTTGGTGAAGTTTCAAGTTGTTGAAACAGGCATATGTATCTTCAAAAATTCACCAAAAACATTACTTATGAATCTATGATCTTTATACATTCAATAACTAGGCTTGACAAGCTTTCCAACAATATATTCTATCCCTAATTTCGAGTCCGTTTGACCCCTCAACATAGTGACTAACGTTAGGCTATGTGCAGTCAGCAAAATAGCTAGATTGAGATCAACAATATTTCAAAACAATCGAACCTGTCAGACCTGCAGAGTTTGGAAACGACTCTAAAAAAATTCTAATACGTTTAGGTTTCCTTTTATGGTTACTATTGAAGATTTAATGGAGGAATCAGTGAAAGAAAATCTTACAGTAATTGATGTTATTTCCTATTATTGAAGATTTAGTGTTACTCAAGAAATTAGTGGAGAAAAATCCTCCTTGTTTCCTATTTTCTCTCTTTCCATTTCCATAATTTCTTCTCCTATATAAAGGAGCCTCCATCATTGTACTGTATATGAATTGAGAGAGTATTATAAAAGTGATGTAGCCCTTTGGGCTCTTTGTGCCGTGGATGTAGGCCCTAGTGGCTGAACCACGTAATACATGTGTGTTCTACTTGTTTTATTTTTCTGTGTATTCTACTTGTTTTATTTATCTCTTCGCTTCCGTTTTATGCTTTACAACATGGCATCAGAGCCTAATTTCTCTTCCTAGGTTCGGACCCTTATTTTGAGGTATTGCCTTGGCATCTGAAATGTTACTAAGGGTTTCTCGGTGCTATTTGTGACTTGTTTGGGCTGCCGGTTTGTTGGGCAGTAATGTTCTTCGCCTTTACCGTGACTCTGGCAGTATTTATCGACTTGTATGGGTTGCCAGTGTGTTCAGTAGCATTGTCCTCGCCTTTGTCGTATCTCCGGTAGTTTTTTGTTGACCTATTTGGGTTGTTGGTGTATTTGGTAGCATTGTCTTCGTCCTTGCCGTGTCTCTGACAGTTTTATCAACTTGTTTGGGTTACCGGTGTGTTCGGTAGCATTATCCTCGCCTTTGCCATGTCTCCGACAGTTTTTTGCTGACTGGTTTGGGCTGTCGGTGCGTTCGGTAGTATAATTCTTCGTCTTCTCTCTTCTCTCTTCATCATTCACACTTGTTGCTACTCATCATCTCAATGGCAAGTTAGACATTCATACTCCAATTTGAGGGGGAGTATTTAAGATTTAATATAGGAATCAGTGGAGGAAAATCTTTCGGTAATTGATATTATTTCCTATTATTGAAGATTTAGTGTTACTAGAGGAATCAGTATAGAAAAATCCTCCTTGTTTCGTAGTTTCTATCTCTTTCCATTCCTATAATTTCTTCTCCTATATAAAAGAGCCTCCACCATTGTATTGTATGTGAATTGAGAAAGTATTATAAAAGTGATGTAGCCTTTTGGGCTCGTGCATGTAGGCCCTAGTGGCTGAACCACGTAATATTTGTGTGTTCTACTTGTTTTATTTATCTCTTCGCTTCCATTTTATGCTTTACAACAGTTACCCTTATTCCTTTGGACTTAAAGCACTATACAAAGACCTCTATGCTCTCATATTCACATATATGCACATATAGAGAGACATACAGGGAGATCTATACACTCATTATTGAAAGAGATCATAAATTTTAGAGTGCATATTTTATTTTCATCATCTACATCTTGCATTAGGTGGTGAGTTATTATTTGGAATGTTGATTTTGTCATGAAATAGTGCAGTACAAACACGAATGACTTTCATTAATTATATACCCCCTCTTCTTAATATAAAAAATACGTTCTAGTAA